TATATTAAAGACTAAATATTTCATTTTAGTGTTCGCCACATATTATTGTAATAGCTGTATAAAGCTGTATCATGTTGACATACTAGTTTGCTTACTTATTTTCCTCTGTTAAGCATGTGGGTATTATTCAGTGTTTCTCAGAGTGTGGTTCTAAGAACAATAGCATCAGAAGATGGAAGTTTCTGGGCCCTATCCCAGACTTAATGTATCAGAAACTCTGGGGGTTGGGCCCAGGAATTTTTTGCTAGAACAAGCCCTCTTGGTGATTCCAGTACATGCCAAAGTTTGAGAACCACTAAATCTAGGTCATTGTCTCAACCTTGGCATTGTTGGCATCTCAGGTAGTTTTGCTGGGGGGTGTTGTCTTGCACTTCACAGGGTGTTGAGCAGCATCCCTGACTTCCGCCTCCTAGATGTCAGTAGATATCCCCTTCCCAAGTTGGGACAACCAAAATAACCCCAGATACTGCTACAGGACCCCTGGGGAGGGATAGAAATGACCCCTGTTGAAAACTACTGATTCAGTTCTTCACGGTCATAGTGTGGTTAAGAATGTTTTTATCAAATAACCTGGTTTTCCCTTCCATTTGATCTTCCATAAGGGACATGAGCAGGTTTATACTTCTTAAGACTGAAGGGTGTCTTTTGGTTCTACAAGAAGCTGGTGTTCAGCCTTGAGTTCAGCTCTTGGTGAAGGTGGTGTGTGTTACTTTCAGAGCAACTTTCTTGGTAGGTCATCTTCTTTTTTAATTCTGCCCCTTAGGGCTTGGACTGTGGTCCTGAGAGCAGCAAGAAGTATGCTGAGGCAGTTGCTCGGGCTAAGCAGATCGTGTGGAATGGACCTGTGGGCGTATTTGAATGGGATGCTTTTGCCCAAGGAACTAAAGCTCTCATGGATGAGGTGGTGAAAGCCACTGCCAGGGGCTGCATCACCATCATAGGTAAAGGGTCCTTTACAAAGTAATGCCAGGGTAGTCTGGTAGAATTCTGATCAGAGAAAAGTTGAAGGGAAATGATGAACTTTTACTAGGTTTCTTGGTGCTGGTTGAGTCTTGAGAGCTGAACCAGTGTACATTTCATGGAGGACCCTCTTAATGAGAGGGAATTGGGGGTTCATCATCTACCTTTTGGGCTTAAGAGCATATTGCCTTACAGTTTGGTGCCAGTCCTTTTTATTTCTTTTCTTTTTAACTTGGCTTTCATTCAACAGGTGGTGGAGACACTGCTACTTGCTGTGCCAAATGGAACACAGAGGATAAAGTCAGCCATGTGAGCACTGGGGGTGGTGCCAGTTTAGAGCTCCTGGAAGGTGAGATTCTTCCCTATTTGACTTGGCTGGGGGTAAGGCTGGGGGTTATGCAGTGACAGGTGGGTAGAGTAGAGTGGAGATAGTATGTGGTATTGTCATTGGTGTTCATTATTACCTGGGCATTACAAATGGAGGAACTTCAAATAACACTCTTGGCATCCATTTTGGGTGGGGAGGGGCAGAGAGGAAGACTTACTCCAGACGGGTGACACTTTAGTAGACCTGGGACCCAGAATGTGAAAGTTACCCAACTCTTGGTCATGTGTTCTAAGGAAGAGCAGACATGTTACTGGGACATGTTACTGGGAAGATAGGTGTATCTGGCTTAGTGGGTCTTGTAGTAATGCTGTCTGTGTATGTGTGCTTTCTCAAAAACAGGTAAAGTCCTTCCTGGGGTGGATGCTCTCAGCAGTGTTTAGTACTTTCCTGCCTTTTGGTTCCTGTGCTCAGCCCCTAAGTCAACTTAGCCCTTGCCGTATCTCTACTTGGCATTAGCTAAAATCTTCCCCCATGTCAAGATTCAGCTAGTGGCCAAGAGATGCAGCACCAGGAACCCTTAAGCAGTTGCACAGCATCTCAGCTCCTCTTTACTGCACCCTGGATTTGCCTACATTCTTCAAGATCCCCTTTGAATTTCCTAGCAACTAAACCATTATGCATTCTAGAGTGCATATATTTATATTTTGCCTGTTAAAAGAAAATGAGCTGTGTTAGCTTCTCTTTTTGAAGTAGCTTATTCTGACTAGCTTTGTCATTGTTTCGCTTCTCAGCATGGAAATAAGATGAAATTCCAATTATAGGTAGGTAAGGAGGCAAAGTTGGTGAACTATGAAATAAATAAAAGTACCCATTGAAACTGGGATTTTATTTTCCTGTCATACTTTATTAGGGTGAGGACAGACTCTGTGGAAGGGATCGAATCAGCTACATTTTGAATGCAAGAAATGGGGCAACATTGGTCGGGGAGGTAGGGGAGATTAGATAAATGTCTACTCTTTTATTGAGGGCATGCTTTATGACAGATAATGTGACAGATGCTTTAAGTTTCATTTTTATCTGTTAAAAACACATGACCATAGTTGAAAATAAAAGTTAAGGCTTAGAACAACAAAATAGAGGCTTCAGCCTCTTCCTCACATTTTCCCATTCCCCAGAGATTTTTACATCTTTGGTTTTTTTTGGGCATTTACCCTCCATGTTTCTAAGTCACATACTTACACTTTGAATTTCTTGATTTTTATAAAAAGCTATATATCAGTTTCCTAATGGAAAGATTGAGCTCTCTTCTGGCCTCTGTTCCACATTTACTTTCCTTCTTCATTTTTCCCAGTATAGTTCTGTTAAAGATTAGGTGAGTAGTCTGTATTATGATTATGAATACTATTCACAGCTGAGCTATGTTGTATGCTATGATTCCATTATGTACCTTTCTAAGTTTTCTTTGGAGTTAGTTTTGAAAGTTTTTTTTTTTCTCCTATGTACTTAACACCGATTGTTCCCAGTGTGTTCAAACTTCTGAGATAAATCTGTTCATCTTTATTAGAGATAATCCCCTCCTGGAGTCCTCATGCTTCACTCCAGTTTTCCCTGCCTTCCAGGTTTGCTGTAGAGCTGTTCTGGGATTTCCTCTTTCGGAAGAAACTGCTTTGGGGTAACCCTGTAGGGGATTCCTTTTACCTCCTGTGAAGTGATTCTGATGTCCTTCTGATTGATTTATTGTCCTTGTAACTTTCCCTTCTTTTCTCTTCCCTGCCATTTTAATGGAGTTTTGGGAGTGAGCAAAGGTAAACATGGGATTTCAAAAGGCCACGTTTAATCAGAATTTCTCTGCTGGACATTTTACATACTAGATGTTATTTCACCTTTATGAAGAGAAATAAATTCTTGGAGGATCTCAGAGCTACGCAGGCCACAGCAGGGATTCAAGTAGTCCAAGTGTGTCTGATTCCAGGCTGCTTTTTCATTGTGCCTCACTCCCACAAAATTGATCCATCTAGCCTAGGATTATTTGATTAACTCCAGAAAGAAGAGCAGAAGAAATTTCTGGTGGTTGCTTTAAACAAAACCATTCTGAAGGCTTGAACTAAAAAAAAAAAATTCATTTGGATTTTAATTAAAACTATCCCCATAATTATAGATAATTTTAAAACGTACCATGTTTCTGCATACCCCTAATGGTACACTGTACCTTGGTATGAGAAGCAGGAATTCTAGTCTGTTCTTTTTAGAGGAGGCCCAGAGGTGCTACCCATAGATCGGCAAATTAATGTCGCAGCCTGGCTAGAACTCTAGCATACTAATGATCAACTTTCTTCCCCTACTGATTAGCTTTCCCCCAATATTTTATTATTTCATATGTACAGAGGGATTAAAAGAATTGTATAAATACCATAAACCTGCCAAGTCATCCATCCATCTCTGATTGTACCTTTTAAATACTTTCTCCTAGACCCTGCTTCTAGGATCATTCCCCATTTATTTGGGTTATTAATTGAGAAAATAAATGGGGAAGCACAACATTTGAATACCTGTGATATGCTTAGGACATAATGGGGGAAATCTAAGAAAGCATTTATGTCCTGAAGGAATTTACAACCTTTACAATCTAGTTGACAAAGATAACCTATAACAACTTGTGAGTACATGAACTAGAATAGTACAAGGATGTGCTTCCTGATTTAATACAGAACTAAGAATTACTGATAAAAGACTACAGAGACTTAGGCAGGCATAAGTGTAGCAAATTCAGTTTTAACCTCCAGATAATAGATGTGTATGACTGTTCAGAGAAATTACAGTCTTTCTGTCATGACTAATTCAGTCTGTTAAGCTCAGTGTTCCTGTTTCCCTTGTTTTCCTTTTTTACGTCCAAAACTTCCCTCTAGCACATGATACAAATGTCAGAAAGGGGTATAAAATGAGAAGACACCTTTCTCCTTCCTCAGTCCTCTAGGTACCAGTTTCCCTCTTTAGAAACCACCACCGTAAGACTGGTTTCCCTCAGTCTAGGGCTCCATAATGCATATAAAAACATTTCCATGTATGTATATACATATGAATTAAAATATATATGGCAGTATATTATACACTGCTTTGTACCTGCTGTTCTGATTAGTGTTGTCTTTCCTAACTCTTTGAGTACTCCCTTCACTCTGGACTCCTTTAGGATCAGTGTCCATTATGTTTTCTCTTTTCTCAACATACTGGCTGTATTCCTATATTCATAATCAGATAAAACACACTTTTTTCCTACTTGTAAAAGTAAGAACTTGGGACCACAATGTTCTTCCCACATTTACCATCAGGACCTCTTTAAAATAATTCCACCTGGAAGCTGGAGGACAAGAATGGCCTTGAGTCATTCTAGAAGCTATTTTAGGTAGACATAACTAGGGAAGGGAGTTCTGCAAGATAAAGCAGTCTTTGTTTGAAGACTGGCTGACCTAGCAAGTGCCTCAGTTACATGTACGGATTCTTACAAAGCCAGCATGTAATGTTTTTAACAGACTTAACCCATACTCCTTTTACTTTGCTTTACTGTGAGTCACATGCTGCTTCCAAATAAAGGCAGGCAATTCCCTGATTTATGATTTAAGTCACCCATTAAATCTTAATTGCTTCTGGCACCTCAGAATTACTGGATCTTACTCATTTTCCTTGAATCCCTTAAATCAAAAATGAAAGATAAATGGTAAGTTCAACTTTTTATTAATAATCTTGGAACAAATACATTAACAATTTCTTAGAGTTACAAACCATTTTACAGTTCTGAAGGGAATTTTCACATACACCAATTAAACCCTCACAACATCCCTGTGAGGTAGGCAAGGTCGGTGTTGTTTCCCTATTACTGAGAACGAGGCTCAGAGGTGAAGTAAGGTCACATAGTTGGTAAATGATGGAGCCAGGAGTAGAACCTAGGCTTTTTGACATGCTGCTTCCCTGAGAACATTCAAGTAATGATACCCTACGCTATATAATGAACATTTTTCTCCTATGATGTTCAGATCCGTTTCTGTAAGTTTGATAACACCTTTTTTCTACTATCCAAAAAACTCAAACTGTGATGAGACATGTGTTTTCTGTCACTGGACTCTTTCAATGTGTCAAGCACCATTCCAGCATGAAACGTTCTTGTGTTTTAAGTTTTGAGGATCCTTGGCTGTAAGTTCTAAATTATGATATGATATGAAAAATTTTTTAGAAAATTCTGCAAAAGTAATTTCCTATATTGAATGTCAAACTTACTTAAAAACAAGAAGCCTGTTTATATTTTTGAAAGCTTTGCAGTCTTTCCCACTAAGATGTTTATATGTGTACACATGGAAAATAGGGAAAGGTATTTAGCAACATTACTGGGAAACTACGCGTAGTACACCTAAGTGCAGGTCACATTATATTGACTTGTTTTTGTTGTTGGCCTTCTAGAGGAAGGAAAACCATTACAGGACTTCCAGATCTGCTCCCATCTCATATAGGATATCCTCAGCAACAAGCTAGAAAAATGAATTATACCAGTAGAAGGGTTCAAGCAGTAGTGATCGTAGCATCTATGTATGTGGTAGAATGGAAGAAAAAAACTTGCTCTTCAGTGGTTTTTGCCTAGATCCAGTGTAATTATACTTATCAAGGCAGATTTTAAGCTATAGCATCATCTTTGCTAAATTTAGAAATGTTAACTTTAGAAACGTGAAATAGAATTACAGACTTGGAATATAAGATAAACTGTAACTGACCCCAAACTACGTGTTAAAGGCAGAGTTAAGCTCAGCATAAAAGGCAATGGATAAAACTCAACTCCTCTGGTATAAAGAGAAAAACAGCAAAGGCATGTAAAGCAGGTTTTAAAAATAGGAAAATGACACTGAACTGTATAACTGTACTATCTGGAGTTACACTTTTAAAACTCCGGTTTTAGCCTTCTGAGAGTATTGGGAGAAACTTAAGCCTCTGGGGAAGAGGTGGTACAGAAAATGAATGGGATCTAGAAATGGGGTTGAGGACATGGGAGGTTAGGGAACACCAAGAAACAAATATTCCAAATGAATATAGAATCCCTTCAAAATCCATCCTTTCCAAAAACATACTTCCTAAATTTAGAGGTTTGGTCAAAAAAGTTGGTGAAAAAAACTATGACTATTTTACCCTATAAGAGAAAGTAGTATTTAAATGTGTATTAGAAATTATGCTGTTAAAAGACTAGTCCACTGATCAGGCTGTAGAAACTGAAAACAATCATAATATTAATCAAAATACCAAGAAACATTTTTTTTACTTGAATCCTAATGAGAAAACATTGGTATGGTTACCTAAGATACCTAACAATTTAAAAAAATTAACAGTTTAAGCTAATAGGAAAAATACATCTACATTTAAGTTTTCTAAGATAAAACTTGAGAAGATAGAGAATATTCTAGTTCAGTACAGTGGGCTCCAAACCAATTACACTTCTGAAATACATCTTGATTGTACTCCCTACATAGTATCATTATCATCATCATCTTCATGTTTTCTCTTCAGTGGGTTTGATTCATTGGGCATGTTCTGTGATGAAACCATGTTGGTAATAAGAATATTTTTGGGCCCAATTATTGAAGGATTAATCAGAACATTCTGAACTGCAGTTGTTGTAGGAACTGTAAACAGGAGAAAACACTCTCAAACTGAATCACCCAAAATCAGAAACATGGTAAATAGTATTCAACAAGGCTAACTATAATTCTGATAATCAATTTTAATAGCATGAATTGCAACCACATCATAGAAACTTGGGTATTTATGCTGCATTAAAAGTTGAATGAAGTTTTTTTAGTACTTTAAAATACTTAAACTAGTATCTAGACACATTAAAGTTTTTTTTAACTACCTAAAATTTTAGTTAGTACTTAGCCATGGGAAGCAGTGCATGGGACTCACCATGGAACATACTTAAGGCACATGTTCAGGGTCAGGAATCACATTTCCCTTAATATGCCAATATTTTATGTAAGTTTACTATGTACAGTTAGGTGTTACAAGATGTAAAATGAAATACATGCAGTAATAAACTATGGTATAACAGTTATATATTATTCCAACTTTACTCCTTCCATGAAGTGAGTAAAGGTATAATTTTTGTCTGGTGTACACTGTGATTTTCTTGAGCTTTATCCTTAAGTGCTTTTCCCTGCAGATGCCTTAGATTTGTGGACCCCAGCTTATTTTAATTCAGTGTTCTTTGAGAATCTGATGGTCATACTGAATACTGTTCCCCTCCCAAAACATTACATATATGTAAAATTTCATACAATTTTAGTAGTGGGCTCATTGACCCTTTTGAAGAACCCTGATGTGGAACATAACTGCCATCTTCTGGGATGCAATTAAAACAACTCTTGCTGTAGGAATACAAACTGTTCTATAATCACAAGTTACTCTCAAATTTTAAAATTAAAAAAAAACTTACAAAAGAACCACTTTCAAATCCCCCCCATGCCATGCCCATCATGTTACCTGATTTGACAGGTGTGGACTGAGAGGGTGGAATCTGCACTGTGTATCTTTGGCTTGTCACTGACACTGGAGGTACAGCTTTATTTGGGACAGACGCTGTTTGCGGGGTTGCTGTGGTTGTAATTAACAGACCATGTTAGTTACATGACTTCCATTATATGGGTTTATATTCTGCACTCCTTAGCTTATTAGAAACTACCTTCAAAGTACAGGGAACTGATGAAAGGTGAGAAAAAAAACATCCAAAATAAGCAAAGTACAAGCTCAATAAATTAGATGCTAAAAGTTCAGGATAGCATAGTGGTAAAGAATGTAGGCTCTGGAGCCTACCTACTTGAGTTTGAATCTGGGCTTTATCGCCTACTAGCTGGATGTCTTTGGGAAAGTTACTTAATCTTGTAGTACTTAAGTTTTCTCACCTGTCAAATGGGATAACAGTACCTGTTACTTGGATTGTTGTGAAAATTAAAATAATTTCTGTAAAGCTCTTCAAACAGCATCTGACACTGAATTTTAGCTGTATGAAGTTGTGAAATTAAGTGTCTAAGCTAGCAGAATAAAGACCCAAGTTTGGTATTCATTATGTTAAATGGCACTTTTAATCTCTGTCTTTTATGAGAATTAGAAGATGTCTACTAGGCTTGTGAAGCTAAATCAACATATATCTAACAAAAGCCTATCAAATATACCCACTTATGGTACCCATGTGGGTACCAAGTATTTTTTTAAGCAAAAAGGGATGTTGGAGATAATTTAGTCCACTCCGCCATCTTAATTCTACCCATTATTCCAGGTAGAACTCAGATACCACCCCATTTTATATAATTCCCTTGATTTGCTCAGAAGTCATTGCCTGCCTCTGAAATTCCCTTGTCATAGAAGCCTTTATCAGTATCTTACCCTGTTCACTAAATTACAAGCCTTGGCTGACACTTTTTTATCCATATGAGCATATGGATTTTGTTCCTTAACTCCTAATAGGCACACAACAAATTTCTGCTTAATGAATGAATTCTGCAAGACTCAAAGACCTACACAGACATCATAGCTCTCTTAAAAAATGCATTTATGGAAACATGTCTGTTCTAGTTTTTCCTTTGGGGATACAGGCTTTCCATACATCCCTTTCCCCTGGAACCAGCAGTCTGCCCAGGGAAGATCTGCCGAAAAAAAGTACAACTATCCTTCCTAGGGACAGAGAAAGCCTAAATGGGGGAAGAAAGCTCACAGGTACCCAGGAATCTGGCTTTAGTGCTTTCTCTCCCCAGCTCAGGAGGGTGAGGCCTTACTCTAACATACCTTCATTCCTAGGCACTTCTGACGCATTAAGGGTCAGTTCGAAGAATTAGGTCAAGGTTAGTGAAACAATACTCTATTTTATTTTGTCAAGGTAATTCACAATAGGTAGATGTTTTCTTGGCCATTACCGCAAGGATTTGTTGACATTTAAGTAAGTATGGACTTTCATCTTTAAAATGGAATACAGCAGATGCTCAGATCTCGAATGCTTTATAAAATTCATTTTTTTAAGTTTAAAACTACTATCTTTAATGCTAGATTTCAGCAGCTCATTATAGATTTTAAAAAAATCTCTAAAATACGCATAGTAAATGTCTAATTGGGATAAAAATCACAACTGACAACTAAAATTGGTTTACTTGTCAACATGTGTAATGGTTTACCACAGCCTAGAATTTTTTAAAAAACTGGTATTTGCTGAAGTAGTATGAATCTGCAGATAAAAAGTATATGACCAAAGTCACACAAATTATATATGCAAATTTCTGTCCACAAAGATAATGTGCGGGTAAATTAGAAGTGTACAACTAATACTAAACCAGGTTGGTTTTAGAATGTTGACATGAGAATATGAAGAGATTTTCTACACACTGCAAAAAATCAAATGCTGCTTACATTAGAGCTATATGACATTTGTAGGACTCAAGCTGTAAGCCAAAAGAGCCAAAAAAAAAAAAAAAAACCCAAAACAAAACATGTCAAAGAGAAGGATTCTTTCTGAAAATACTTTGATTATGAAAGAAATCTGGCAGGAATAATAGGACCAAAAACGTCAGGAAATCTAAATCCATTTTGTTTTCCTTATTCCCTAAACCCATAATGGTTTCTAAATACCATTCTTCTTTAAAAGGAATCAGGGCTCTTAGGAGAAGTGGCTAGTAGGGCTGGGGTAAGGAAAATTAAGGGGAGCTTAGAGCATCTTGTGCCAGGAAACAAATACTCAAAAGAATGATAGAGACCTGTCACAAAGGGCACAGGAGACAGCTTGAAGGGGCAATAGAGTTGACAATCTTTTGAAAAAATTAGTATTAAAAACAATGATTTTTTTCTTTGAAATACTTAAACTTTTTGTACATTTTAAACTTCTTTTTTTTGGTTGCATTCTCTTGCCAGCTTACTCAAATTAATTTCTCATAACAAGCAGGCTATTGCCATGAGTGTTTGGAAACTTGATTTGTATAGAAGGCAGAAAAAAACACAGCTTGAACGGTTTTTGGTACCTAATTTACACCAACAACAATGCTGGGTAATGTCTAGTTCTGTACTCATTTGGGATAAGATACTCACTGTGGCTTTCTCATTTTGAAATCTGATAAAAATACATATTTATAGTTTTACTAGAGGATGAGTAAATGTATCAATGTCAACACACATTTGGGAATTTCTGACTCAGCTTTTGACTTGGATTATAGTTCAAGACCAAGTGCTGAGGCACTTCACCAGACAGAAAAGGCATTTCCTTCTCTCACTTACCTACAGTAGGAGTGGAAGGTCTGCTACTAACAGCACCAACACTTAACCGCGGTACTAGTCTTCCCTGGTTCGGTCCCTAGGGGATTTAAAAAACTATTTTTAATGTTTAGATCTGACCCCTAAACTTAACAGGAATGAAGTTAAGATTGTGGATGTGAGTTATTAATGGATAACCCTTGGCAAGAATGTACTGTTTTTGTTCCATTAGTGTTCTAAATCCAACATTTAAACTAGGGTCTTCACAAACATACGTATTTCTACAGAAATATGGATATGAGCACACAAACATAAAATTTTTTATAGTATTTAGGTTTAGGGTAGAGTCTTAACTTGGGGATGACAGCTAATATCCTTTATGATTTTTAATCTTAACTAGTTAATATCTTAACCTAAAAAGAAAGATACTCTCTTATGGCAGAATGTCAGACAACAAAGGCAGCTGGCTGAATGTGGGGAAAACTTTTTCATTGGTGGGAGAGCCTTAGGTCATATTTCAGAAAGCGAGTCCAATTCCTCATGATATACCATTTACTCTGTTACCAGGTGCCACAAACAACTGAAAAATACGTAAATACTGGGAGTTAACGTAAGATTGTGCAGTTCCTAGTGACAGTTGCCAAGAGGTTTCTTGGGTCTGATGTACAGTATGAATAAATGCTTGGTTGCAGCTCTTAGCCTCTTTCGATCAATGAAGCACTTTTTTATTAATATTTTTCTTTGTAATGTAACGTTACAATGTTACTCCTATAGGCACGCAACGTAAATACAGGGAGTTAACGAGGCCTGGGAATCAGTACCAGATTTGCCACTAATTCCATAGGTGAACTGAGGATTAGTTCCCTGATGGGAAAATTAATTGTTGAGTTAGATGGACACTAAAGTTCCTTTTCGCTCTAAAAATCTTGCACCTTGTATTTTAACGAAGTAGCTAATTGCAGACATGGTATTTTCAAGGCTATACATGTAAAAAATCCTAGTAAATCATCTTAGTCTTTAACCTACTAATCCATTTACAGGACTATGCATTTTACAAATTCCCCTAACACATCTCACCTTTTAAAAAAACTAAGCTGACCAGAAATTCTTACCTTTTTAATTAAGGACTTCAGCCTGTAGTTTGGAGCTGTTAAGCAGTATCTGTCAGGTGGCAGTCTGGGTCCTGCATATGGCTTAATCAGTGGTAAAGGGGTTTGATTTTTCTGCCTTGCAATATCGAGTAAAAACTAAAAAAAAAAAAGTCCTTATTAGAACTACAATGTAAGAAATTTTATGTAAAATGAACTTCAAATAAGTTTGCTCACATCTCTCGGAGGAGGAGAAGTAAAAGACTGATCAGCCCGACACTGGATTGCCAGTCTCACATCATCTGCATCAACATTAGGTTTCTTAGCATGGCTTGAATAAATTTTTGCATCATCCAGAATTGTAGTCACATATCCTTTAAGAACAAAACATTATGAAGCATTAAAACAGCTTAATATTTAAGGTCACTTTTCTTAACGGGAGGTTCTACTAACTTCTAGAAAGTTTATGAATTTTGCTTCTAGTATCTAATTGTCCTATCTACATGGCCAATTTTAAACAGATAGCACGGTATAAATACTACTGTCCCCTTAGCTTGAGCTCTCTTACTGCTTTAGGCTGCATTCTGTGATACTGTTCAAGCAATTTAGTTGAAAATGTTCTTAAGATAAAACAGTGTTTTCAAATTCACAAGTTAGGCAAATTTTTGTTTTGTTAACTTACGGAAAGCAAATTCCAACATTTGATTTATAACCCTTGGTTCATACTCCGTAATTCCCATATCCTTCAGGATTTGTGCCATCACCTGTGGATTCGAATAAAAATGCCAGATGCATAATCTAGGTACTGGAAAGCAAGACTGGACCAAAGGTAGTATTTATGATAAAAGTTCCCCCTTCTCTGGGCTCCATACTTTTCCTCTCCAGTGTCAGGGTCACACCAAAAGCCATCCTAACTAACCTCTGCTGAAAACTTTATTTTTTGGCCGGGGGTGGGGGGGGTGGGACGGGGGCAGAGACACCAAAAAGGTCCGGGTTGGCTTTCCCCAAGAAAAGAGAGGGGAGGCTACAGCTGGTTGTCATTTTCCGATGCGGCAATGGGGGAAGCTCGCAGCAGATACTGGACGCTAGAGTCAGGGCTCACAGACCTGGTGAGACGACAAAGCGTCTGGGGCCCAAGGCCCAGGAGACAAAGCTGGGTGGCTGGACTAAGCACTCCCGCGGGCCTTAAGCCACCCCCTAAGCGGGTCTGCCGGGGTTGCGAGAGAAGTGCCCCGGGGTCCAGGGCACCCCCGTATCCCACTCCTCCTGGTCGCCCCGATTGGGCTGAAGCGGGCGCGCGAGCCCGTCCTGAAGCCCTCCGCCAGGGCCTGCCTCCCGAGACCCTAGCCGTACCTACCTTCCTGCCCGCCTCTCATCCTTTGCACTTACCAAGGCATCTCTCGGAGCGTTCTTAGGAGGCGCCATCTTGCCGGACTCCATGTTATCCTGCCCCTCGTCATCTGGGGAGAGAGGGCTTCTCGCCGGCTCCTCGCTCAGGCTCCACCCCTGCGGGGTGTGGAAGGAGGGGTTACAGCGCCGGGCCGGCGGGCTGCTACTTTTAAGCTGCTACTCAACCGGGTGGAGTTTGAGGGTATCAGGGCTATGGGTGGAGCGCGGGCTCAGGAGGATTGGAATAGACAGGTGAGTCTTCCCTGAGGAACCCTCGGCCAACACTTGGAACAGCCAAGAAGCTCATTTTTCTAGAGCAGTTCTCCGGGAAAATGTACCAAATGGGTCACCTTTGTCTTTTCTGGGACCCCTCCTCACACCTTCGCTGCTGCTACTCTGGCCCTTTCCATTTCCCTGCAATGCCCGCAGGGGCTCCCTCCACCTGCCCCTGTAATAGGGTTGGGGGGGGGGACACACCCAGTTAAATTTGTCAGATCCACGACGAATACATTTTTAGCTATAGTCTATCTCCAGTATTACATGGGCTATACTTACCTACAAAATTATTTGTGGTTGATCTCACATTTAAGTTTAACTTGGCATTCTGTATTTTTCTTCAGTAATCTGGCAACTCTACTGTATAGCCTGCTCTCCACACAGCAGGCCTTTGGTCAGCTCTCACTATACTCGAAGCCCTGCTATTGCCTCCCATTTCATACTGATGAAAAGCTTAAAGCCTTTGTGGGCCTGCAAGATTCTCTGCTAGAGCCTCACCAGCCTTGTCCCTTGGCCCTGAGTAGTTTCCTTTCTCTCCCTGCTGAGGCCCTCCAAGGGCTGTCACTTTGCCTCACAGATGCCCTTCTCTCCCCAGTCTCCACACAATAACCTGAGTGACTTAAAAACAAAACAACAACAACAACAACAACAACAAAAAACCCAAACGTACATCAGTTAAGCATCTCTGGCTTAAAGTGTCCCTTAAAGTATTCTTTCTTATTGCTCCACAATCCACCAATGCCCTAGTGTTCTCCGTCACAGGAAGAGGCACTCTGAGCTACCCAGACCAGAAACAGCAGTTATCCATGTTATGCAGACCCCCTCCCCGCAATCCACACTCATTCTATAGCAGGTCTAATCAGGGCCATCTCCCAAAGTCAAGCCATGTCAGTCTGTGCCTCCACATCCTCATTCAGTGCTACCACGCGAACAGTCCAAACCAACAGCCGTACTCACGCAAGACTATAGAAATAGGTCCTTGTAATAGGGCTACCCTACATTCTTCACACAACCAAAGGGATCTCTTAGTCGTAAATCACATAATTATATTCCTTTCTTTAAAACCTTCTAATGGCTTCCTTCACAAAACAAATTTGCACTCATTTCAGGGGGTTAGCAGACCTTTCAGTTTTGGGCACCAGCTTACCTCATCAGGGTTATCTGAATCAGTCATCCACCAGGCAGCCATCTTGAATTTTGGGCAGCAGCCCCAAGAACCACGTGTTCTTTAACAAATTGTTTCTGTTGGGAACCCTGAACCTTCCTGCAAACACCTTTCTCAGCTCACTTTGAGCAATTACTGTGTAAGACTAATAATGATTTTCTCCCTTTGGACTACGTAGTACATGCACAAGGTACAAAGTTCTAAAAAATACATGTAGAAAATAAAAAGAAACCCCCTCTGGCTTATTCCACCCACTAATTTATCTTTCATAGAAGGCACCACAGTTTACCAGTATCTTGTCTATGTAATTTACAAATATCACCTTTTTTATATTTTGTTCCCCCATCCAAATGGTACTATACTGTTGGGGTGTCCAACCTTTAGAGCGCCAAAGGATACAGCTATACTAGATGAAAAGACCTATAATATGTAATAAGCAATTGTGCAGAAGTGTTATTACTTTAAATAAAAATACGAAAATAAATGTTACTTAAATTATGTTTCTCTGTATTATTTTTCTGTTACATGCTATTATTTAAACAAAACAGTAGGACTAGTTAACAGTTAAACAATTAGTATGAATAGTAGGACTAAGTACTTTGTACGTTTCTATCCCATTACAGCAATTTAGTTCTTGAATATTTAAATTTTATAAGTTGTAGTGTATATTCTTAGTATACATAAATGTAAGACTTTTAAAAAGGGGAATGTAAACACAATATGTATGAAGATTTAGACATATCTGTAGCCCATATTTAGTGAAAAATAACAAAATGGTTTTTTTGACTCCGTGGTACAGTAGGATATTTTTACTCTTTCTGTTTCTTTTCCAATAATATTTCTCTGAACTGCCTGCAGCCATTAGGACATCCTTGTTTTCTTTTATGTAGTGGTAAAACTGCATGTAGTCTAACATAATATTCACTTTGATATGCATCTCTGGTCTTAATTGAGCCCACATTAGACTGATTCTTGGTGTCAGTCCAGTGTGGTGCCATAAACCTACACTTGATCTTAGCCAAAGGCCGAGAAGCGATGTGGTGGTGCCATAAACCTAAATGACCTTTCAAAAAAAAGTGTTTGAGAATGTAATATTCCTCAGTAGTACTTACAGGAATAGCAGGTTTTTACATATGTAGGAGTTAGTTTTCATTTCTCCAGAAATGTCTATTCACTTAGTACTAGAGGCTGGTCTTGGTAGACCAGCTATTTGTCAGTCAGTTAGGCCCTTTGCATCTATACATTCATCCTATGGGCTGTCCATGACTAATATGTTCACCACTTTTTAACATTCCAAAGCACATTAGATGTCATCATAAATTAAACCTTTTTTTTAACCCCCTCAGGGAAAAAGGTTTTAAAGCACAGAGGTAATTTCAACTTATGAAATCGAAGTTAGATTCCAAGTAAGTTAAAATTTTAGTAAAGAAATGAGAGTCCTGTTTAACTTGGGTGCCTTTCTGGCGAGTTTTTGTTTTTGTTCTGAAGTAGTCTTATTTCCAAAAACTGAGTCTTTTTTTTTTTTCCTGTATGAGTTTTTGTTGTAGCCTACACATAACATCAGGCAGCTTAGACACAGTTAGTTCTTTTCAAGTCTCCATATGGCCTCTTTAAAGATTACCAAGCAGTTTTAGAGAGACAGCATATACATCTCTGTTTTACTGTAATCCTTTCGCCATTCTCATCCTCAGTATATTTACAAATTAAAGGACGTTTTCCTTGTCCCGCATTTTGAAAGCAAGTTTACAGCAGGCCAACATTTTTAACACCTTTTCTATGGCCAGTAACAATAATAAGCATCATGTAAGGCACATGTTTTATGGAGAGTATTCCTTCCATTTCAGTACAGTAAAAAAGTCTCATTAGGTGCTTTTATATATTTTGAGAGAACTTAAAAGTGGACAAAACTTCATTATGAAATCTTCAATAGCCCAGGTAAGAAATCATGTTCCTTTTTTTTTATTTTAAGCGGTATTGTGTACAAGATGTATGTATACTTAGCAGATAAGATCTTTTCATTTTCTTGGGTCAAAGTTTATAGACTGGAATATGTCAAACTTTATATTTACATCTATGCTTGAATATGAACATAGATGAGAAAAATATAGTTTGTATTTGGACAAGATATCAATATTCTTTTGTTTTGGGGCACCTAGGTGGCTCAGTCAGTTGAGCATCCGACTTTTGAGTTCAGCTTTGGCCCTGATCTCGGGGTTGTGAGATCAAGCCCTGCATTGGGCTCTCTGCATTGGGTGTGGAGCCTGCTTAAGATTCTCTTTCTCCCTCTTCCTCTGTTCCTTCCCTCCCAGAAATACTCTTTTATTTTTTTATAGTATTCTAAAAATTAAGGTAGAGTTGACATACAGTATTAGTTTCAGGTACACAATGTAGTGATTAGATATTTTTAAACATTATGAAATGATGAACATGACAAATCTAGTTACCATCTGTTACCATACATAGTTATTCCAGTGTTATTGGCTATATTCCCTATACTGTACTTTACATCCCAGTTACTTATTTTGTGCTGGAAGTTTGTACCTCTTAATCTTCTTCACCTATTTTACTCATCCCTCCCAACCCTTCCCCTTTGGCAACCACCAATTTGTTCTCTGTATTTATGAGTCTGTTTCTGTTTTTTTTTAATAATATTCCACATGTAAGTGAAATTATATGGTAATTGTCTTTCTCTGTCTTAGTTTACTTAGCATAATACTCTCTAGGTCCATCCATGTTGTCACAAATGGCAAGACTTCACTCTTATTTATGGCTGAATAATAGTCTGTTGTGTATATGTACACTACATTTTCTTTGTCCATTTATCTATTGATGAACATTAGATTGCTTCCATATCATGGCTACCGTAAATAATGCTTCAATAAACATAGGGACACATACATCTTTTTGAATTAGTGTTTTTGTTTTCTTTGGATAAATACCCAGAAGTGGAATTGGTGGCTCATATGATATTTCTATGTTTAAATTTTTGAGAAAACTCTTTTCCCCTTGGTATATATTTTTTAATCTGATTGTTTTTTGCCACTGAGTTGTATGAATTCTTACCTTTTAAAGATTTATTTATTTCAGAGAAAGAAAGGGAGAGAAAATATCTCAAGCAGACTCCCCACTGAGTGCAGAGCCTGATGTAGGGCTCAATCTCATGACCTTGAGATCATGAGCTGAGCTGAAACCAAGAATTGGACACTTAACCAACTGCACCACCCAGGAGTCTTGGTTTGTATGAATTCTTTATAGATTTTGTATATCAACCCATTATCAGATATGTCATTGGCAGGTATCTTTTCCCATTTAGCAGATTGCCTTTGTTCTATTGATGGCTTCTTTTGCCATGCCAAAACTTTTTAGTTTGGTCTAGTACCAGTTGTTTATTTTTGCTTTTTTTTTTCACTTTGCCTGAGGAGATAGATCCAGAAAAATAATGCCAAGACTAATGTCCAAGAGTTTACTGCCTGTATTTTATTTTAGGAGTTTTATGGTTTCAAGTTCTTTAATCTATTTGGTTTATATTTGTATATGGTGTAAAAAGTGGTCTACTTTCATTCTTTTGCCTGTTGTTGTCTGGTTTTCTCAACACCATTTATTGAAAAGAGATGGTCTTTTCCCTACTGTAAATTCTTGCCTCTTTTGTCATTGAATTT